TGCCAAATCCTCTTTTCATTTTTCTCTTTCCTAAGGCTAGTCATAATGAAAATAACTTAGCTAGTAATATAGCACATTTTAATTATTATTTTCTTATGTGGCAAGTATTTAATGTGAGGTAGTAACATAATATTTTACTGTAACATAGCACTTCCCAAGACAAGATGAGTCTACGAGCTAATAAATAAAGTCATTTATGACACTATTATTATGTTACTTTACATTATAATACTCCTTCCATTCCAAAATATAGTGCGTCCGCGCTTCTTGAGGTCCAACTTTGATCATAAATTTAACCAACGAGACCAACTGCGGCAGGAGAAAAATTATATAATTAAAAACTTCTTTCAAATACGAATTCACTGATATAATTTTTGCTCCCGCCGCAATCGGTCTTATTAGTTAAATTTACGGTCAAAATTGAAGTACGTGAATAGAGGAAGCACTACATTATAAAATGAAAAGAGTAGTAGTAACTTTCAGACTAGTGTCATGCATATGACACTAGTCTAAATTACTCGGAAAGCCGGACAATCATCAGGACCAGGACCAAGGAGGAGTGGCGCTGTGGAGATTCGTGCACGGCAACCGTGGGCCCACCTGTCAATCAGAATACTGTCACTGCTTTGGCCTTTGACCCTCCCTCTGTTGTTGCGCCGCACCGGTACAGCTGTTAAAAGCCGGGGGCCGAATGAGGTGTGGGGTGAAGCGTTACCACCAAGCCAATGTACTGACATGTGGGGCCAGGCCTTTCGCCACACGCTGACTACAGGGAGCCGGTCCTGCCGACGCGGAGAACAAAGCGGCCGCAGTGAGTCACACTCATTTGCTTCTGCTACTGTTTGCCACCACGCTGGCACGTGGGACCAGGTCCTAGTGGACTCTCTATGTCAGTGAGGCAGCAGGCCAGAGATGGGAGTGCTTCTTGCTAGCTGGATTCACCACGCGCTGCCGCGGGAGTGAAAGCTAGAGCGTGTGGCTTCCACACCAAGGCTTGGAAATTTCAAGGTTGATGTCCACCACTCTACATCAGAGCTTCTGTCTCATCATCCTACTGGCGATCACTCGACCCTCTCCACGTGAGGAGGAATTAGGCTGCTCCCAGTAAAGAGAGTAACATTCATTTGATAGAGGATGAAAAAAGCTTAATGGTTTAAAAACATTCAAATAAGTTTGAATGTTTTTACAATAAACTTGACTTTCTTTTGTACTTGTATATAAAACTTTACGAATAGATAACTGGCATTGACTTTTGGGCAAAAAAAACTTATTTGCTATTATAGGTCACTATTCACGCTATTTGATCAAAAGTTTTGTCTTTTGCGAGAAGAAGTCATGAGTTTTTTTTTTCTTTTTGTGGATTTTTTTACCAGTACAATGAAAGGTCAAGTTTATTTTAAACATATTTTTAAAATTTGTTGACTTTTTATTTATTTACTAAATTATTTTTTCATATATGGTGTATACACACACATAGACGAAAAATTCATGTCCACATTTGATACTGCTAGTGTATACTATGTCTGTATTACATTATATTATAGGCTAGTATTTAGATGAGTTCATTTATTGTCATGCTGACACATATTATTTATTATAATACGACATTTTCTCTTTCTTCATTTACTTTTATGTCATCCCATAAAAGCTTCCTACCTGTTGGTTGGGTTTATAAACCGGGCACGATTTTTAAGGTCTTCGATTAGAGTAATAAAACATGTAAATATGCCACAAATATTATATGGTTAGAAACTTGGCATCTTTCAATGCATTGGTGCTTAGGCCACTCTTGATGAAGACATCAATACCATTGTTACACCCACAGCCTTTGTTGTTATACATACTGGACCAATTACTAGAGCTCGCGCACGCCAATTGAATTATCAGGTACTTTCGTTTCTTGGTAACGATTCTAATGTTCATGAGAATGTGATGGTGCCTAAATTGGATACATTTGTTTTGCTTACAAATGAAGGGCCTAGCTTGGACAAGAAAGATCAACCTTGGAGCAAGTTCAAGCATGGAGATGATGGCATGCGCAAGGGGAAAAAGAACTGAGTTACAAGTAATGATTCCAGGACTTTGAAGCCATCATAATGAGTGCATGAAGCCTTGGATGAAATATACAAGATGCCACTTCATAAATTTCGTCCAGAGACTATTCTAGATGCTGCGTCACCTTATTATTGGGCCAGGTCCATGTATTTTCGAAATACTTATGTATAGGCTGCTTTTAGAGTCCGTATGCGTGGGAAAACAAGAGTTAGAGTTTGTTTCGGACTCCTCCACCAAGGGCCACGAAATTCCCCCTCTCTCCTCCATATATACAGCCCTTAGGGCATCGTTTAGACTTTGGGTTTTGTTTAGATTAAAAGTTCGCCATATCTGCAACTATGCGTACTTCGTTTGTGTCCAACGACCAGACCAAGACGTCACAGAACCCCACCTTTCATCAACAAAACTTTCCTCTTATATTCGCAATATCCAGATTGCAATTTCAATTTCTTGCTTGTTCTTCGTTGCTTGCAGGAAATAGACCCTCGTGGTCAGGTTGATCGTGCTCCGGTGTGGTCAATAACCTCCCGGAGTTAGTTTAGCGATTGCTAAGGCGCGACGTCCTCGCACGTTCGTAGTCGGATCGTGAAAGTTGACTTCTACCAAAACGATAGCCACCATCTCATCGAAAGATCGAGCCCCTCGCCTCTATCAACTCTCGATGCATTATCTGTTAGCGTGTTGTCATACATAGTGAAAAATTCTGCGAAACAATCATCCCAATGCATTTTAGCTTAGGTGTTGTATCCAAATAATATTGCACTTAATTGTTTTAATGAAACTCTTCTTAAATCAGCGCAATATGCTTCATGCATCACTATGACATTCATACTTGAATCCATCCAATATCCTCAAGGCACCACCTATGAAATATTCCTTCAAGTATATATCAGTGAAAACATTAGTCCATAGATATTATCATTAATTACCAAAACCACACTTTAGGGCTACATGCATTTTCATCATCTCTCTATCCTCTTAATTATCTTGCCACATAATATTATTTGCATACTTACACCTGCCTTAGCACATGTACAAAGTGGAACAGTAGGAAGGCCCCACAATGCTTGGTTCTTAGCATAGTATCATAGGTAAAATGCAAGTATGGCACTATATTAAAAGAATAAAGAGCGTGGAATGTATGTTAGTGGAAATTCTTAGCTCTATATTGAATAATTAATGATGTGGTCTTATGTGGCTTATCTCCATATTTATCTTTTTTGTGGGGATATCTCCATATTTATCAGTCAATCTCTTTCTCCACATCTAGCTCGGCGCGCCACCAGAGGGGTTGCGCGTCCGCCATCGCGTTTGGACGCCAGACGGATCACACGGCCTCCGGCAAGGCAGCTATGGCCGGCCTAGCGCCGGATCCATGCCCCATTTGGGCAGAAGCAATGGATTCCCGACAAATGGAGTCCCAGCGCAGTCGTCCACGGGCCTCCTCCCGGCGGGGCGGAGCGCAAGACGGACGACCATCTCCTCCTCGGGGCCGCGGGGGATGAGCTCGGGGTCGAGGATTTGGAGGTGGGACTCGGATCTGCTGCCCGCCATGCCGGAGAGGCCGGGAAGGAGCCGGAGACGAGCTTGGGTGGCAGAGGGGATTGGAGGGGAGTGGAGTGAAGTGGTTAGGGTTTTGTCCAGCGTGCGGATGGGGAGGATTTTATGTGGGGTCAGGTGGCCTAGCGTGGGACGAGTCCGACGTGGCGGGCGTGTCCGACACCCCCATATCCGCCCCATATCTAGACTTGATATGAGGGGTGCCGGTTAGTCCGTGTGGTTGAGGGCCGCTTGAGAAGTCCGTCTGGGTCAAAAAATCGTGACCGGGAAGTGGTCGGGCGGCCTGCCCGCGCGTTTGGGATGGTTTTGAGGAGTCCGGTTGTAGATGCTCTTAGAAATTAGATTTATTCATCCAAAGCAGTCGTCAATATTTACTAAAAAATAGTAAAAACATTGGCAGATTTTGGGGGCGTCCAATATGATAGCAAATCCGGATCTATATTCTATAATATCTAAACAGTAGATCCACGTTAATTATAATTATTTCAACATGCAGGTCTCCACGTCATCAAACATACCATATTATCATCCACTAGAATTGTTTGGTAGCAGATGCATACTCCCATTTAATTGTTTCATCTTAAATGGTCGAGCATATATGTATACTCTTTGCTAACATACAATTGCTTTTGAAAATAATACTCCCTCCATTTCACAATGTAGTGCTTTCTCTATCTACGTGCTTCAACTTTGACCGTAAATTTAACTACCAAGATCGATTGTGGCGGGAGCAAAAATTATATCAGTGAATTCGTATTCGAAAGAAGTTTTTAATTATATAATTTTTTCTCCCGCCGCAGTTGGTCTCGTTGATTAAATTTATGGTCAAAGTTGGACCTTGAGAAGCGCGGGCGCATTATATTTTGGAATGGAGGAAGTAGTTTCAATTTATGTCATTACATTCATACAAAATTTATCTTTAAAATTCGGCAATAAATCTGAATTAAAGTAAAATATGATGGGTTGTTTTTTTGCTATTCACTCCTTGTTATTGATGTCCATGGCTCTGGGCCTCTGCCGGATGGGGATCCCCTGAGGTGGCCTAACCTGCCATCGACTAACTGACATGCGGGTCCTAGCAAGCATGGTCTCTGCCTCCATCTGCACGGCTTTCAAAGCGCAGCGCACTACAAAATTAAGCACTGACAATTGGGGCCACCGAGTCGGGTGTCCCCCACTTGTCCGTGAGCAACAGTTTGTAGACGGGTCGGGTGGGACCCACCACACCGCACGCACGCTTATCAAGGCAGGGCCACCATCCCCAGCGCGTTCTTCTCCTACAAGCTCACACCACCAGACGCCGCGCTGAACAGTGCGATTCACTGAGCTCCCTCGCTTTTCTCTACGGATACACTACCGCCTCGCGACTTCGCCTCGAGAGACCAATGGCCGCGCGCGCGGCGCACCCTGGCGTCTTCCTGCTCCTCGCTGCCGTCCTTCTCGCGGTTGCGGTACAACCGGCGGCGGCGACGCTGCACCCGGTGGACTACCTGGCGCTGCAGGCCGTCCGGCGCGCGCTCTCCGACCTGCCGGGCTCCGGCTTCTTCGCTTCGTGGGACTTCACCGGAGACCCCTGCGGCTTCGCCGGGGTCTCCTGCTCCGGCGGTGGCCGGGTCGTCACGCTGGCCCTAGGGGACCCGCGCGCCGGCGCACCGGGCCTCTCGGGCGCATTCCCCTGCGCGGCGCTCGCGCGTCTCTCCGCGCTTAGCTCGCTCTCGCTCGTCCCCGGCCGCGTATCCGGGGGGTTATCCTCCGCCGTCGCGGCGCTCCCGTCGCTCCGCTTCCTCGCTCTATCCGGGAACCTCATCTCCGGGAACCTCCCCGGAGCATTCTCCCCTGCTCTTCGGACGGTTGATCTCAGCAAGAACTCCTTCTCCGGCAGGATACCCTCTTCACTGCTACAAATCAGGAGTCTCCGAACGCTCGTCCTCTCCCACAACTCCCTCTCCGGCGAGATCCCCAAGACAGTGAGTTCGCCGCTGGTCCACCTCGACCTCAGGAACAATCGCCTATCCGGCGGCGTCCCGCCGCTCCCGGCGACGGTCGTGTACCTCAGTCTTGCCGGGAACAGGCTCTCCGGCCGCGTTGGCGGCGTCCTTCGCAGACTGACGAGGCTGTCGTTTCTTGACCTTGGCGGGAACTGGTTCTCCGGCGAGGTTCCCGGAGAAGTCTTCTCGTTCCGGATTGGGTACCTGCAGCTGCGCAAGAATGCCTTCTCTGGCGAGCTCCGGCCGGCGGGGTGGTTGCCGTCGGGCTCCACGGTGGACCTCAGCCACAACGCGCTATCCGGGCTGGTGCCGGCGGAGCTGGCGAGCGCGGCTGCAGTGTACCTGAACGGGAACAAGTTTGCTGGCGCGGTGCCGGCGGAGATTGTGGCGGCGGCGGAGGGCGGGCGCATGCGGGTGCTCTTCCTTCAAGATAACTTCCTGACCGGCATCAGCGTGCGCGGCGTGCCGTCGAGCGCGGCGGTATGTGCACACTGGAACTGTGTTGCGCCTCCGCCGACCGTGGTGGCTGCGTGCCCGGCCAAGGGCGGCAGGGGGCGGCGCCGGCCGCCGGCTCAGTGCGGCGGGAGGAGGGGGTAATAAGGAAGGAAAGGTTTAAGGCTTTTGGGGTTTAGTGGGTAATGATGGTGTGTGTCATAGTTCTTGACACGGGTGAATAACCATTTTTGGTGTAGTGTATATTTCTGTTTTGTGATCTTGCTTTAGATATACGGCCGTAATATTGTCAGGGGTACACGTGTAAGGTGGATCTGGTTTGTTTCAATGTCAGCGATTGCGATTTACATAGAGAAACTTGGTGCAAAGAAATGTTGGGCTCTCTGCTATGTTATCTCCAATGAAATGACCACCGATTTGTTACTCAATGGTTCGAATTGTTATGAAGTGCAACTCGTATTGACTCCTCCTTATCTACTGTAAATATAAGATGAAAAGCGTCTTATATTTCGATACATAGCAAGCATTATTCTGCACATTGCAGGACTGAAGAATAATTCAGCACAAACTTGGACAGGGGGTGGTCTCGAATCCTAGCTGTGCAGGGCGGTTGGTAGTTTGGAAGTACAAAAACGAAAAAAAAAACATAGTAGATGTAGAGAAATTTTACGGTACATTATAATACACCAGAGCACGTGTATTATATGGGCGATCTAACGGATGAGACTAGCTGGGCTTTTTTGAGTCCAAGAGTATTTTCGACCTAATTTTTTTATACTTTTAATCGGCCCACTTAGGTCCAGGGGTATTTCCGTCCTAATTTTTTTGATTAAATCAATTGCATTAATAAAACACTTTATTATAACTCCAATCATCGTGCGTACTTTTTTGAATTTCGGTTCGAGCGGTTCGTCCTATCTCCTCCTCTCGAGCCCTAACCTTGGGCGCCCTCGATCGCCGCCGATCGCACTCGCCATGTCACTCCTTCCTCCTGCTCCTACTCCCCCCCTCCCCCACCATCGCAAGTCACCCCCTTCGGGTCGTGGCACCAGATCTTCCGACGAGCCGCTAATCCCCTCCTTCCCCGAGCGGACGCCACCTTCCCCGACCCGAGAGGCCACATCATCCTCATCGACGTGTGTCGGTGTCAAAACTGGTGGATCTCGGGTAGGGGGTCCCGAACTGTGCGTCTAGGCGGATGGTAACAGAAGACAAGGGGCACGATGTTTTTACCCAGGTTCGGGCCCTCTCGATGGAGGTAAAACCCTACGTCCTGCTTGATTAATATTGATGATATGGGTAGTACAAGAGTAGATCTACCACGAGATCAGAGAGGCTAAACCCTAGAAGCTAGCCTATGGTATGATTGTTTTTTTTCGTCCTACGGACTAAAACCCTCCGGTTTATATAGACACCGGAGAGGGCTAGGGTTACACAGAGTCGGTTACAATGGTAGGAGATCTACATATCCGTATCGCCAAGCATGCCTTCCATGCCAAGGAAAGTCCCTTCCGGACACGGGACGAAGTCTTCAATCTTGTATCTTTAGAGTCCAGGAGTCCGGCCGAAGGTATAGTCCGGCTATTCGGACACCCCCTAATCCAGGACTCCCTCAGTAGCCCCTGAACCAGGCTTCAATGATGACGAGTCCGGCGTGCAGATTGTCTTCGGCATTGCAAGGCGGGTTCCTCCTCCAAGTACTTCATAGAAGATTTTGAACACAAAGGTAGTGTCCGGCTCTGCAAAATAAGTTTCCACATATTGCCATAGAGAGAATAATATTTACACAAATCTAATCTGCTGACGTATTTCGTAGCATGACATCACACCACGACCAAGTCTTTATTCGAATCGTTTTACTGTCCCACCTCAGCGCGTTTAGCGAGGCGGTTTCCTTAGCACGTCTTGTTAAAGCAGAGATCGTGTCCCCTTATTCCAGGATTCTCATCAACACGGGCGTGGGTAACCTAGTCGTACCTGTTGGTATGTTTTCTCGATCAAAGGCGAGTCCCAAACGGTCACGGGGAGGGCCCTTGGTATTCAACCTCTTATAAAGAGACCAAGGCCTTACTCCTTTCTTTCAATCTCAAACGAGTTCGCCCTCCGCCTCGAGTTCCAACACCCAAGGCTCTAGATTTCAGGCGCTTCGGACCTTCGACAATGTCCGGTTCCGACCTTCGAGGCCGATGGATGCCCTCCTCCGTCACGGAGGAGGACGTGCTAAAGTTGAGAGAGGCCAGGTTCTTGACCGGCGAAATCTCGCATAGGCTGCCTGCTCAAGGGCAGGTCATTCCCACTCCCAAGCTTGGTGAGAGTGTGGTGTTCGTGTCTCACTTCCTTCGGGGGCTAGGCTTCCCGACGGATCCCTTCGTGAGGGGGCTCATGTTTTATTATGGGCTGGAATTTCACGACTTAGCTCCGAAGTCCATCCTCCATATTTCCTCATTCATCGTCGTGTGTGAAGCCTTCCTCCGTATTACTCCTCATTTCGGACTATGGCTCAAGACCTTCAAAGTAGAGCCGAAGATGATCGAGGGACGGCACGCGGAGTGCGGAGGTGCTTTTATAAGCAAGAATGATGGTGCTCCATGGCCCGAGGGCTCTTTTCAAGGGTAGTCCAGCTTATGGCAACGAGAGTGGTTTTATATCACAGCTCCCAGGAGCACCAAGTGGGTGGCGCTGCCTGCTTTCCGCTCGGGTCCCCCGCCACGACTGGCGTCATGGGTCAATAAGGGGCTGGACTGGGGGTCGGCAAAGGACGTGCCCCTGTTGGAGGGCCGCATCCGAGATCTCCTAGAAAGAGACATCAGTCTGGTCGTGGTGATGCAGGTTATGTTAATTCACCGAGTTCTGCCCTGCAAACGTTGCCCCCTCCGCCTGTGGGAGTTCAACCCGGAGGGACCACGAGTTCTCCAACATTTTCTTGGCATGACGCCCGTGGAGATGTACAAATTGTTCTTCGGACCACAAGTAGTGTGTCCGGATTCCATGGAGGACGCAGGTCTGAGCTGCAATCGTCCGTATACTCAAGTAAGTAGCCTTGTGCCTGGACTCGCTATCCGTATATTTATCATAAAATTGCCCCTAAAAGAGCTGTCCTTTAAACAGGAGTGGATAGCGAAAGCAAAGCTAATCAGGTGTCCGGACCCCCTCCCCGAGACCACGCCGGATCCCGTGCTAGTCAGGATGTTGGAGGTTGTGCCTTCGGAGGAAAGCGAGGGAGGGGACAAGGAAGCTACAGCCTCCTCGAAGAAGGTTGTCCGGAAGGGAGGAGTCGAAAATTCCTCTCCTCAGGGGAAGAAGAGGACCGCCTCTGACGACCCGGAGACCATGGCCTCAAAGCGGGGAAAGAAATCTTCGTCAGAGGGTCCTGCGCCAGGGGATACTTCGGCCGAATTATGCCCTCAAGGGGATCAGCCCTCCACCGAGCCGTAAGTAGAGAGGAGTTTTTCTTTTTAAGAAATGAGAGAAATCCTTGCGTTGTATCTGAGAAGAGTAATCGAAAATTTACCTTGTAGCTCGGACCTTAGCCCTTCTCAGCAGAGCTCGTCTTCGGGGGATCTTCTTCCGGAGATGATGGAGAGCGGAACGCCTCCCCCTGCCGTACCGCCTTGCGAGGCGGGTGATCCTGTGGTATCGTCGCGGAGGGTTTCTCTGAATCCGGCAGGGTCGAAAGGTAGTCATATGGCCCCCAAAGCCCTCCGCGTCCGGCCTTCGAGAAGGGCCATCAGACGAGTCCGGCACCGTCTGTTGCGCGGTCGGAGGAGCTGAAGGATCTGCTAGGGCGAGCATCTATCTCGGAGGAGCACCGTGCATTGATGGTTACGGTGATTGAGAGGATTTCATCCGCGGAGAGCGGATTGCACGAGGCCGTTAGGAGTTTACTGACATGTTTTGAGGTACGCGAAATAATGTACCCTTTTTGGACAGTTGCGCATAAATAAGATGCGCCCTGTGTAGATAGTAGCCCCTGAGACTCTGTGCGTTGTCAAAAGTGACGGCGCGCAGAGGATCATAATCCCAGGTCTAATATGCCGCCTTCATACGTAGGTGGCGAAGTGTCGGGTGGCCAGCCGGACTGATGAATTTTCCGAGCTAAAGTGGCAACTTGACGTGGTAGATGCCGACATCACGCTTGTTAACAAGCGGCTTGACGAGGCACAAGGTATGTAATTCCTCCGGCGGCACCTGGTAAGAGGAGCTTTATGCCAGTATCTTACAATGTGTGCGCTTGTTGCAGATGGTGCTGCTGCCATGGAGAATCTTCGGGCGGAACTTACCCGAGCCAAGGAGCAAGCCAGGAAAAGTGATGCGGCTGCCGAAAAGGCAATTGAAGAGCTGAAAGCCGAACAGGCTGCTCACTGCCGAAGCAAGAAGGAATGGCCGAGATGGTTGTGAAGCTGAAGAGCGCTGCTGACCGTTGCAAGCTTCTTGAAAAAGAAGATCAGGCGGAACAGACGGACCTGGAGAAGGCCGTTGCCGATGCCAAGGATGCTCGCTCTGCGATGAGAGCTATGAAGGAGGAGCCGCGTCAGGCCGGAGAGATCACGGCTGGAAAGCCCTTTATGCTGCGGAGGAAGTTCTGTGATCCTAAACATGCTCCGTTAGATCGGATGTGGAGTACGGCGGACACCTATCTGGATTTGGCGGCGAGTGCCGCAGATGCGGCCGAACACTTCCGAGATCAAGAAGATCGCGAAGTGGAAAAGCTCTTTTGGTCGCAGTTCCACAATCCGGAGCGTCCACTGTCATTAGCCGATCGTTTGGCCGAATGGGCCGAGCTAAATAGGTTGTCCGGACTCGCCATGAAGTATGTCATGAGTCCTCTGTGGCCAGAGAGGCCAGAGCCGAAAAGTTATTTCAACTTGGTGCAGCAGTTCCTTGGTGCGCCGCCGCATATCAATGCAATGAAGAGGTCAGCGTGCATAGAGGGTGCGCGGATGGCTCTTGCCCGTGTCAAGACATACTGGGCGGAAATGGAGGCCACCGTTGTTGCATCCCCAGACTCGGATGGAAGCCGAGTACCTGCTGAGCACTATTTTCAGGAAGTTCTGCAAGGCACTCGTTTAATAGAGACGCAGTGCTTGAAGGATACTATATTCGAATAGCATATATTATTGTAAAACAATATTCTGATAAATTGTAGAAGCTTTTTATACTTGTGCCTGCAAGTATTATAATACCTCCTGTGCGGCCGTTTAACATATATGTATATATAATCTGAAAGATGGCAGTCGTCGGCTTCAGCCCCCACGCACATAATGCGGGGGTGTTCGCAGAAGGCGCATTTTCACACTTGATCCAACGTCTTGGTCCTACAAAGGAGGTGATAGCGCAGTGAACTAGGCAATCGGACTATGATGCTTTATCACCTTCACTTAGCCATAGGAGTTTGAAAGTGAGGCTACTTATATAGCCCCTGGTGGTGCCTGTGCTCGCCCGAACTCGGGGCGCGTATGTTCCTGGCCGGGAAGCGGCCCTTC